GCAGTTTTTCTGCTGGTATAACATTCTCAAGTGCCTTGAGGTTTTCCTGTGTATGTTACAGGGACAAACTCTATTATAAAAGAGATCCTTCAACAGATGTTTCCAGGATAATATAATATTTATTGCTAGTTCTGCTGATATTGCTGAAGATATCCATGAATCACACATCTAATCTAAGCTGAGTGTGCAACCCTCTTCATGATTGAATACTCTGATTTTTTTTTTATTCTTCTAAGCCTTCAGCAAAAGATTTCCCAAACACACCCTAGACTTTCTTCTAGAGCACACTTTACTAATAGTGACTGTCCTAATTTTAGCATTTTTTAAAAATCATCTGCATTTGAGAACTTTCCACATTATCAAGTCCGAGTTCCTTTTTGATTAACAGTTATAACATCAGTCTTTTCCCCCCTCTTATATTTTCCTATAAGCAGCAAAAAGAAACTAGACCACATCTTCACATGGAATATTACAAAATACTTTCAGAAGAATAAAAATAAAAACATAACATAACAAAATATATGGGAAGCATATAAAGCAGCACTTAGAAGAAAAATTATAATTATAAATGCCTACATTGAAAAGGAAAAAGAATCTCAAATCTATAATCTAACTTTCACCATAAGACACTGAAGCAAGACAAGCACACTATAATCAAAGCAGATAGAAGGAAGGAAATAATAAAAATTAAAGCAGAAATAAATAAAATGGATACTAGAAAAACGATGGAGAAAATCAATAAAACCAAGAGTGAATTACATAAGATTAAGAAAATTTACTAAGATAAGAAAGAGAAAGAAAAAGAAAAAAAGATTCTAATTACTAAAATTAGGAATAAAATGGGAGACATCATTTCCAAGATCACAGAAATAAAAGGGTTTTAAGGAAATATTATGAAGAAATAAATAGAAAAAATTTAGGTAACAGGGAGGAAATGGGAAAATTACTAGAAAGATACAAACAGTGAAATTGACCTAAGAAGGAAAAGAAAACATGTATAGGCCTATAACATGTAAAAACTGAATTTATATGTTATAAATTTCTCCACAAAGGAAAGCTCAGGTTCAACTGGCTTCACATGTAATTCTACCAAACATTTATAGAATTTATACTGTTCCTTCACAAACTCTTCCAAAATATAGAAAAGACAGAACCACTTTCCATATGATTGGATCAGACCAGTATTACTCTTGTTTTAAAGCCAGACAAAGACATAACAGGAAAAGAAAACTACAACAAATATATCTTATGAATATAGACACAAAATCCTGAACTAGAAGAATTATTCCTCAATTTAAAAAGTAATACTTGCAAACCAAATCATGCCTTATATAAAAAATATTGTTCACCATGACCATGTGGGACTTGTCATAGGAATGAAAGGTAGTTTAGCCCTAATCAGTTTGGCTCAGTGGATAGAGCATTGTCCTGTGGAGTGAAGGGTCCTGGGTACAATTCCAGTCAAGGGCACATACCTTGGTTGTAGGGTCCTCCCAAGCCCAGGCCCTGGTTGGGGCTCGTGCAGGAGGCAACAAATCAGTGTGTTTCTCTCACATCAATATTTCTGTCTGTCTCTCCCTCTTTCTTCCACCCTCTCTAAAAAATCAATGGGAAACATATCCTTGGGTGAGTATTAAAAAAAGGTTATTTAAATTTCTAAAAACTAATATAATACAATGAATAAAAGACCAAACAACATATTCATCTCAATAGATTCAGAAAAAGCATGTGATGAAACACAAGCACTTTTCATTATAAAAACAATAAAGAAGTCAGGGACAGAAGAGAACTTTCTTTTAAAAAATTTTCATGGATTTCAGAGAGGAAGGGAGAGGGAGAAAGAGATAGAAGCACCAAAGAATCATTGATCTGCTGCTTCCTTCATGCCTCTACTGGGCGTCAAGCCTACAACCCAGGCATGTGCCCTGACCAAGAATCAAACCGAGACCTCCTGTTCATGGGTTGATGCTCAATCACTTAGCTGCTGTGACTGGGTGAAAAGAACTTTCAGTTTGATAAAAAGCCATCTATGAAAACACCCACAGCTGAATGAAACTATGTAGTGAAAGAGCTTTATGATCAGTGACAATACAAGGATGCCTGCTCTTACTACTTACATTCAATGATGCACTGGATTTCCTAATCAGGGCAATTTGGCAAGAATAAGAAGGGATATGTCCTTAAGCAACATTGAGAACATCATCAGTGGTTACAGGACCTTCAGTCCTTGACACCCACAACAACCTCAGTGTTGGAATTTGTTCCTCTAAGATGCCACCCAAACTACTGATCTTCCAGGTGATAATGAGAGTCACACACAGCTTAACTAAGCAACACCCCAGGAAACATATTTCCAGGAAAAGAGAGGGTTCCTGACACATTTACCTTGTAGCCGGAAATGCAGATATATACGGAGCATTGCACAAAAGCATATGAAACCCAGTACTTGAGCAGGAATTGTGTTCATTATGTGAATGGAGTCACATCCGAACACTAGAAAAAAGAGAATTAATTAATGAGGAATGCAGGAATCAGGGGCATCACTGACCTAAGGGTCATTATTAGAAAAAGCATAGCCATTGTTCCATGCCCACTCAACCTAGATAGGACTCAGGATGTGAGTTTAGTTTGTGGGTGGTGGCAGTGTTTAGTAAGATTGGACTTGCAGACTAATAGGGCTAAGAGGAGTTTCCATTCCTAGTTCTCACCACCTAACCTACCACAAGATTAATCTGTCTGGGGGGACTGGAGAGAGGCTCTAGGAATCTTCATCAGATTTCTGGGGATTCTGAGGATTGTGGGACTGACCAGATGTAGCTGCGGTGACATTCATCTGGCTGAAAGAAAAATCTATCTATATCCACAGACTCTAAATATACTTACACCTTTCAGCCTGAATTCCACTGTCAAGGAATTTATTTCTACAGACTAAACAGAGATTATTACAATGTTTTTCCATGTATTACTAAAATATGCATTCATTTATTCTTTGATTTATATTACCTTCCAGAGGAAAATAACCAGAACACTCAGGTACTTTCTAAAGAAACTCAATTGTAGTAAAATGATCATCTCCACTCAAGGCCTTTCATGGGGAAGCAAGGAAATTCTAATCATCTATATATATAAAAAGACAGCTATCGTAAGGGCCATAATGACCTAACAACCAGTCCCTATGATGCTCACTGTGGCCAGCGAACCAGCCTGATCAGGGGGTGGGGCTGGCGGCCAACCTCGCAGCCCCTTCCCTCTGATGGCCTAGCCCTGATAGACTCTCCCACCTTGATCAAGAGCAGGGCCTGCAGGCCAAACCACTCCCCTCTCCCCCCGCAGCCATCTGTGCCATTGATCAGCCTGCCCCACCACAATAGGCCTGCAGGTCCTCCCTCCGGCCAACCTGCCCCTGATCACACCCCCACCCCACCCCAATAGGGGGCAGGGTTGGCCATCCAACCTCCCACAGCTCCTCCCCCTATCTGGCCTTGCCCCTGATTGCCCCCCCACCCCAATAGGGGGCAGGGATGGCTGTTTAATCTCTTGCAGCGCCTCCTCCCCCAGCCCAGCCACCCCAGAGGGCAGGGATGGCTGTTTAATCTCTTGCAGCGCCTCCTCCCCCAGCCCAGCCCCACCCCAGATCAGCCCCACACCCTGATCAGGGGCAGGGCCAGCCAGTCAACCATCCATGGCCCCTCACCCAGGCCACTGGCCCCTGATCCCCACAGCCCCTCTCCATAGCCAGCTCCGCCCCCAATCAGCTCCCCAACCCAATCAAGTGCAGGGCCCACTGGCCAATTGCCCATGGCCCCTTCCCCCAGCCAGCCAGGCCCTGATTGGGGACCCTAATTGGGCTCTGATCTGGGTGGGCCAGCTGGCCAACTTTCTGCCATCTCCTCCTCCTGACAGGCCCAGCCCCATCCGGCCTGATTGGGGCCTGGTTGGCTGGACCCCACACATGCATGAATTCCTGCACTGGGCCTCTAGATGTTATATAATGGGTAAATATGTATCAGTAGATTAGATTTTCACAATGAAGAAAATTCTCATGATAGCTATGTAACAGGCTGCCACACAAAATGATAATCTTCAAGACCATTAAGGTGTGCAGGCAGAAACCTAAAACTAAATACTGGAAAGAAGCAAAATGATTAGAACATGAGAATTGGAGACAAACACATCTGCATTCCAATCCTGGCTCTGCCACAAATAGCTATGTGAGCCATGGTATCTTCATCCATCAAATGGTGACAACAATAGCACTGCCCTTCAAGATTAATTTAGATAAATTTTGTAGAACTGTTATCACAAAGCCTAGTATAAATAGGCACTGAATAAGTGTGGTACCAGATTTTAAGGACTTGGTTAAAAAAAAAAAAAGCACACAATGAATTGTACCTTCTCTGTTGACTCATCTCCATTAAGTTGTCTACTCCATCTCCAAATTCACATCCCCCATCTAGCAGTTTACTCAGCTATATGTGAGCTATTTTGCTTGGCCATATTTTAGAAAAAGAGTTCTCCTTTAAAAAGTCTGATGTCTGCCCTAACTGGTTTGGCTCAGTGGATAGAACATCAGCCTGTGGACTGAAGGGTCCCAGGTTCAATTCTGGTCAAGGGCATGTACCTTAGTTGTGGGCACATCCCCAGTAGGGATGTGCAGGAGGCAGCTGATTGATGTTTCTAACTCTCTATCCTTCTCCCTTTCTCTTTGTAAAAAATCAATAAAATATATATTTTTTAAAAAGTCTGATGTCCTTGTACTTGATGGACTACTACATCATTCAGTGATCTATTCATAAAGATAATATAGTCATTTAGATTAGCCATAAAACCAGAGAGAACAGTCTGGTTACAAAGAATTTGTTGGTTTAAAGACCTATTTCTTTTTCATGTTAATTTTGTTCTAGTCCTCCAATGGAGATAGTATCTTAAACATTGCTGGCAATCTGTGCAGGCAAGGAGATTGTGATCAAATGAAGTGTATCCTAGAGCAAGGTTCAGGGTTCACCTATCACTAAATTATTTTAAGTGAAGCATAGGTTGAGTCCATTTTATTTCAGTTGAATAGACTCTTACCTAAGAGAGAAAGCATTCCTTGGAGGCATAGAAGCAAATGGGCTAAGCAGCTCAGGAGACATTTATACTCACCCTATTCCTCAAATAATCCTTGTCCTGGGAAATTCCTAATTGAGAGGTGTGGAGTTTAGCACTTCTAAAGTGAGAAACGAGCCCTAAATCATTCTTTGTAAGGCTTGGCATTTGTTGACAAATGTCATACTGTTCTACTTAAGCACCCCATGTGACTTAGGCATAACATTTGGAGAGATGCCCTAAATGATTCCACCCTTGTTGCAGCAGTTACCTGTTTTTTTGGAACATCGACAGATAAGGAGCACACCAATAACAGCCAGTATCACAGAGAAAAGTGAAGCTAAAACCATCAGTCCAATGTGGACTGGAACAAACAGGGCATCTGAAAGAAAGAGCAGAAAAATGTGAAGTTCAATAAATCCATGACATGCATCACATTAGGAATTTTACTGCTAATGAGCAGGATTTCCCTCCAGGTCCTGCATTTTCTTTAATTTTATTTATTTATATATTATTATTTTTGTATTTGGGTCAGGGCTAAAGCAATGAAACTGTTTTAATGACAAGCACATAGCCTGGGATTGAGCTTCTTTGGGGACAGAATTGAAACTGAGGCCATAAAATGAATGAAGTCTCTTCCTTGTCTCTTACTAATATCCAGTACACATGCTTCCTGTTATAAATGAAACAATCAAGCAGAACTCTGGACATATAAGTCATACTGGGGGTTGAGAAGCTCAATGGCTGTAAGAGAGCTTTAGGGTGTAAAGATAATGGAGACAAATAGATCTTTTATTTTATGGTTTGCATTTTTAACAAGGTCTCTCTTATACAGTATTTTTCTTCAGAAGGGTTTGTTTCAGTTGTAGCATTTAATTTCTAACCCATATGAAATTTATTTTTGTATACAGTTGCATGCATGAGCCTTTTTCTTCCTGAGGAATAGTCAATTATTTGCAAGATCACATAGGAACTATTTCATTTTAATAATGCATTAAAATCTTACAGATGAATAAGAGTTCTCTTATTCATCTATCATAATAAAAGCATAATATGCTAATTATACCAGAGGAAGCTGAGGCTGCGAGGGAAACCTGGGTCCTGGGTGCCAGAGGGAAGCTGGTGCCAGCGGCCAGGGGAAGGGAGGCCTACTCTTGCACAAATTTTGTGCATCAGGCCTCTAGTATAATTATAATTTGGTATACGCTGTTTCCTTATGATCTGGATTTCTTTCTACCTCTCCTGATTTTTATTATTGGTACAATGTCCTATTCCTGTGACAGTAAATAATATTCTGTGGTAATGAATTATCATAAATTGTTTAACTGTTCATTGTTCATAATCACTTTCTTGACTTAAAGACATTCCAGGCAGAAATGCTTTGAAGGTCTTTTTTATTAAAAAAGTTGGTTAAAGTAATTTTGAAATTAGTATGAAAGAGTGAATATCTGTAAATAGTAGGAAAAAAGTTTAAATAAATACAAAGATAGAATTTCTTTTATCAGATTTTAAAAAAACTGCCTATAATACATGGGGATGTAAAGTGTCACATAGGGAACATAGTCAATGATATTGTATTAACTATGTATGGTGCCCGGTGAGTTTTGGATTTATCAGAGTGAACACTTTGTAAGTTATATAAATGTCTAATCACTATGCTTTACACCTGAAAGCAATGTATTGTATGTCAATTATAATTTAAAAATAAAAATATATTAAAAAACTGACTACAATGATGTGATTATATTGATTTTGGATTATTTTTGTCTTTGTGGATGTAAATATTCCCATTCAAAGCATTCCCCCACATTCTAGTCATTTTTGCTCAGTGGGTTGAGTGTCAGCATGCAGACTGAAGGTTCCCATGGGTGAGTCTAGTCAAGGGCATGTACCTCGGTTGCAGGCTTAATCCCCAGCCCTGGTTGGGGCATGTGTGGGAGGCAACCAATTAATGTGTCTCATATTGATGTTTCTCTGTGTCTCTCCCCCTCCCTTCCACTCTCTCTCTCTCAAAAAAAAAAAATCAATGGAAAAATATCCTCAGGTGAGGATCAACAACAACAATAACAAAAGCATTTCTCTACAAGCATTTTTGTCCTTTTGAGGTCTTTTAGACAGAGTATGTATTGTTTTTCAAGTAGGTTCTGCATCTGCCTGTGACTCTATATATTTTGTGACTAATGTTGCATGCATGCTATTTTTTCCCAGATTTTCCTTGGGGGTTTTAACCTCTTATTATTATATCTTTGTTCTAATTCATAATTAAGAAAACATTTTACATATGTGTCTTTTGATTGCATATTTGCCTTTATATTTGGTACTTTTTAATGATAGCAAAAACATTTTTTGGATAACTTGATGAAAAACACAGTTTACCATGCAGTGTTTTTGTAGATTTCATGTTTATATTAAATGTTTAATTTGTTTTAATGCTTGTGAATTACATAAAGTTGTAAGAGCTTTATTTATTACATAAAATGTGAAAACATGATAACAATTTGCTTATCTAGTCCATGAAAGACTCTTCCTTCAAAATTTATTATTATGTAATTTGATTTTAAATATTATCCATTTAATTGCATAAGATATGATGCCATTTTCATATCTTATGCTTATTTTATTTTTTTATTTTTTGTTAATACTCACCTGAGGATATTTTTCCATTGATTTTTTTAGAGTGGAAGAGATGGGAAGAGACAGAGAGAGATAGACACATAGAAGGTAAGTGAAATCTTTTAAATCACTGAGTAGAAACTTGCTAAGCTTACATATGAATACTGTGAATAAAGATAGGGCTCTTTAATAAATCAGTGCCAAAAGTAACATATCACTTATTTATAAGTAGCCTCTTACTAATAAAAGGGTAATATGCTAATTAGACTGGACATCTTTTGGACATCCTACTGGACAAAGCCATGGTGGCAGGGTCCAAGGCAGAGACAGGGTTAGGGGAGATCAGGCCAGCAGGGGAGGGCAGTTAGGGGTGATCAGGCTGTCATGGGAGCAGTTAGGGGGGGATCAGGCCGGCAGGAGAGCAGTTAGAGGCATCAATCTGGCAGGCAGAGTGATTAGGAGTGATCAGGCAGGCAGGCAAGCAGTTAGAAGCCAGCGGTCCTGGATTGCGAGAGGTATGTCCAACTGCTGGTTTCGGGATCGGGCCTAAACTGGCAGTTGGACATCCCCTGAAGGGTCCCAGATTAGAGAGGGTGCAGGCTGGGCTGAGGAACCCCCCGCATGCATGAATTTCGTGCACTGGGCCTGTAGTATCCTATTTAATAAAGATGTGATATGCAAATTGACCATCACTCCAACACACAAGATTGCTGCCCCCATGTGGTCAAAGATGGCCACCCCCATGTGGACACAAGATGGCCACCATAAGATGGCCAGCAGAGGAGGGCAGTTGGGAGGGACCAGGCCTGCAGGGGAGGGAACTTGGGGGTCCCAGGCCTGCAGGGAAGGGCACCTGGGGGGACCAGGCCTGCAGGGGAGGACAGTTGGGGATGAGCAGACCAGCAAGGGAGGGCAATTAGGGGCAATTGGGCCAGCAGGGGAGGGCAGTTAGGGTAGACCAGGCTGGCAAGGAAGGGAAGTTCGGGGTGACCAGGGGATGTCCAACTGCCCATTTAGGCCTGATCCCAATGTGAGATCGGGCCTAAATGGGCAGTTGGGCATCCCTTGAGGGGTCCCAGATTGGAGAGGGTGCAGTCTGGGCTGAGGGACACACACTGCCATGCACAAATTTTGTGCACTGGGCCTCTGGGCCATATATATATATATATGGCTAATATGCTCAGTGTCCGTCCAGGTAATAATGTCACGTAGCAAAGCCTGCCTTCTTCTCCCCAGTGACAACTAGCCTCCTTGCAGTTTCTTCAGCCCAGGAACACAACTTGCCTTATAGCCAGGTGCAAACATTTTACACTGTAATCAAATGTCTGTGAAGGTTTTCCCATGCCTCATTTAATTTGATCCTCACGGAAGACCTGGAGTAGATAGATAGGAGACTCTGTGGAATCCTATTTTCTTTTCATTAGCCAGAAAATGGAGATTTAGAAAGTTTAGAAACTTAACCCAACTGAAAAAAAGTAAGAAATAATGGACCTTGAAAATGACTTCAGGCTTTCTCACTGCACATAATATAGCCAAAAACTGTTACAGTTAAATATTTTACCCTTTATCTCTTTGTGTGATCTACAATAATAATCTGCCTCATGTTGACATTTACTGCTGTGTTGTTAACAATTACCTAAAAGAGAAGTTGGGGTGCTTCACTGGGCTGGAAAAAGTTTAGCTAAATCAGAAACCATGTCTAATTAAGCAAGTTTATTCTATATCTATAAAACGCTAAGTTGACTCATGCATGCACAATACATATAAAGCTCTTGCTGGCATCAATCGCAGGCATGTGTTTCCATCTGTCATTGTTGATCCTGAATTTGTTTGACACTTCTATTATAGAGAAAAGAGGAATAGCTATACTAAAATATTTCTTCTAATTAATTTCCCTTCAATGTGCACAAATTCATGCACCAGGCCACTAGTTTGATCATAAAGTCCTAACTGAGCAGGTCATAGTGGATAGCCTATAACTTCTTTAGTAAAAGGTTTACTTTCACCTTAAGCAAGACTTATCTATTGCTCTTGTGCACCTCAGTTAACAGACCTTTGAAATGCCAGAGTAATCCTCTTTTGAAGACTTTTGGGAAGCATAAGCACCCTCAATGGATCACACAATCTTGTTAACTATTGTGTAATCTAGTCAGAGAGATTTCTCTGCGTTGTTCTCTCCTACATCCATGTAATCTTTCTTATGTCCCTCTTTATTTTTTAAATATATTTTTATTGATTTCAGAGAGGAAGGGAGAGGTAGAGAGAGATAGAAAAGAAACATCAATGATGACAGATAATCATTGATCAGCTGCCTCCTGCACACCCCCTACTGGGGATCGAGCCAACAACCCGGGCATGTCCTCTTGACCGGAATCAGACCTGGGAACCTTCAGTCCACAGGCCAACATTCTTTCCACTGAGCCAAACTGGCTAGGGCTTATATCCCACTTTAATTCTAAATGTATAAAAAGAATTGCAAGATTATCATTCTTGTGAGCATTTTAGATTCCAGGCATGTCATCAGTTTGGCTCAAATAAACTCTTATAAAAATTCTACAGGGTTGGAGGAAGAACTGTAACAGATCCTTCATGTTTTCTGCTGTAGAAATTTGACACCCTGGTTGGAGAGAGAGGGGCGCAGCTGAGTGGCGGACAGAAACAGAGAATCGCCATCGCTCGGGCCCTGGTTCGCAACCCCAAGATCCTGCTGCTGGATGAGGCCACGTCAGCCTTGGACACTGAGAGTGTATAAAAAGAATTGCAAGATTATCATTCTTGTGAGCATTTTAGATTCCAGGCATGTCATCAGTTTGGCTCAAATAAACTCTTATAAAAATTCTCCACAGGTTTGGACATTCTTGCAATATTGTGAGGGTTTAATGAGATAATGCACTTTCCTTTAAAGCTGTAAAGTGTGCCTAACCGGTTTGGCTCAGTGGAGAGAGCATTGGCCTGTGGACTGAAAGGTCCCAGGTTTGATTCCGGTCAAGGGCAGGTACCTTGGTTGTGGGCACATCCCCAGTAGGAGGTGTGCAGGAGGCAGCTGATTGATGGCAACTGATCAATGTTTCTCTCATCGATGTTTCCAACTCTCTATCCCTCTCCCTTCCTCTCTGTAAAAAATCAATTATATACATATATATATGTAAGGTGTATTTCATTTCATGGGTTGTAATTATCTTTCTAATTTTCTTCCTCTAAAGCCTTCCTCTCAGCACCTGACAATATCTGTGTACCTATAACAATCGTAAAGAGTCACATTGAAAGAGTGCTTGATAATGTACAAAGCTTTTTAACATTAATTATCTCATTTATTTTCTCTATATGTTGACTTATTCACAACCAAACCCTGCCAAACACTCACCAGCTAAGATGATATTTATTTGTTTTTCTTCATCTGACAGAGGATTGCGAATGTAGCAAATCATATCACCCTGTGATCTGTATCTGATAAGAGTCATCTTGATGTGGAATAATCCAGCTCCATCCTGTGAGTAGGATTGTGATGAATGTGGAATTACCTCTCCCTTGCTGTCTCTGCACACCATCTGGGGCTGTGGGAACCAGCCTCCTGAGTTACACTCCACCATAAGTCCATCAGTTCTAGGAGCCTGAATATGGACCTGTGTCTCCACGCCTAATGCTGGATAAATGATATGGAAATCAAGATAGTTATTGTATTGAAGTTGAGTTGGAAGTTGAAAGGAAAAGGATATCATTAATCTTGTATTCTGTAATATTAGAAGAGGCAATACTCAAATCTACTCAGATACATCGAAGCTACAAGTTTAGACTACCTTTGGTCACTCAGCACTGTTTATTTACTGCATAGTATATTTTTGCATTAGATATAGGGGTTATCTTCTATTTAAAACACTTGAGATACTTTGTAAATATAAAAAAGACAATAAATAAAAAGTGATATATTTTCCACATATTTCAGCTCCTGGGGTCACAAGACCATTGATATGCAATGTTCCACCATAAACATACCTGCTACATTCAGGTTCATGCTTGCCACATTGCTGAAGTTGCCATCCTTAAATGAACACTGGTATGTTCCATTGTCAGAAATGCGGATATTATGAAGTCGGAGAGTCACTTTGCCCTCCCCAATGGCCTCTCTCACAAACTCTGTGCGATCCACATATTCTGGGGTGGCTTCCCCTTTCACTTCATGGCCATCTCTGTATAGGTGAACAAGCTTGGAATGGTCAGCCTTGAACCAGGATACCTCCATGTGTTTTGCACTTTGTGATGGGAACAACTGGCAGCTAAGCTCAATCTGTCCTCCTACTATAGCCACCAAGTGAACCGTGGGAATGGTCACTGTCCACTTCTCTGTAGAGAAAGATAGAAAACTAGGATAAATTTGAGTCCAATGACACCTTTGTTGCTATATATTGAAGAACACACTGTATTATTCCCATCACACCTTGCCATTCTAAATATTCATCTCTGAACATATCTCCAGCTGTCTAAATCAATATTTTATTTATTTAAAAGATCTATGTTAATACATTATTTTCTTTAACATATACTCACTTGGGTTCTAAGAAGATGGAAGAGCAAAAAGCACCAGGAATCCTTACTTAGGCAATAATTTCACTGGCAGAATCTGCCTGAGGTTAACTCTTTTAGAATTCTGAAGTCTATGAAAGGCCTTCAACTTTCATGGGAAAGCTTGGATGATAAATTGCATTAATTGTGATTCATTTTAGCTAATATCACAGTACCATCTACCCAATCTCCACCTTCAGCCCCATGGCAGGCAACTGTGCAACTCTCCCTGGAAACGCTTTCACATACCTTATGGGAGCCTGAGTAAGCACAAAGGACCCTGTCATTCAAATACGGGGGATCTGTGCTGTCATCCCTGATTGCTTCCAATCACAGAGATTGGAGGTCAAAGAGGAAAGTGGCCACTTTTGTTGCACCTTCCATTTTTTCGCCATGCCTCTTGAACTGAAGTGACATTCTGGGAATTTAAAGGGTCAGCATCCTTTCATTCACCCCTTCATTTTCCTCCTTTTCCACTGTTGAACACCTGACATTAAAGATTACAACATTCAAAAGCAAGTGCATATATATGGAAAATTAGAAAGTGACCACATATATTCAGGAAAAGGGACAGACTCAGAAAAGACCCAAGGAAACCTAAAGTTTATATCTCAAGCTGATCCTGGGCACACCAACAGCCTACAACAATAAAACAAAACAAGAACAATAAAAAAAACAATAACAAAAAGACAGCAAATCCTGGAAAAAAAAAGGGAATTATATTTTGAATTAACACATTAAATTCCAATGTCCAGTTTTCATTTAAAAAATCAGAACACATACAAAGAAATAGGAAACTATGGCACATCCCAAGGATCAAATAAACAGAAACTGTCCAGAAAAAGACTTGATGGCAGATCTATAATTAAAGACTGTAAAACAACTGTCTTAAAGATACTCCAAAAACTATAGGAAGAAGTAAGATAGTCAACAACAACAAAAATGTATGAACAAAATGGAAATATAAATAAAGACCTGAAAACCTAAAAAGAAAACAAAAAGGAATTCCAGAGCTGAAAAACACACCTGAAATGAAAAAGTCATTAGAGGGATTCAAAGACAGATTTAAACAGGAAGAGAAAAAGAATCAGTTAACTTGAATACAGGACAATAGACATTATTAAGCTGGAGAACAGAAAGAACAAAGATTGGAAAAAGTGAATGGAACTTAAGGGGGTTTGTGGCACATCATTAAGTAGAACAATATATTTATTGTGGGAGTCCCAAAAGGAGAAAAGAGAGAGCGAAAGGGATAGAGAGAATATTTGGTATAATAATGGCTGAAAACTCCCCAAATGTGATGAAATACATGACTATAAACATCTATGAAGTTTAACAAACACCAAGATGAACTCAAAGAAAATCACAAATAAACACTTTAAAATCAAACTTTTAAAAGTCAAAGACAGATTTGTTTTTCTCTCTCTTAGATATCATTTGTGCTCTCTTTTCTCTCCCCTAATTATCTTTTCTCAGGTGCTTGCTTATATTGGGGTTACTGGTTCCGTGAGTACATTCATGCTTTGTTCCCTTTGGGTCATGTCTTGTTAAGGTGAATATTTTGGGATTAATGTTCTACATTCTATTTTAATCTTTTCTTTAGCATCATTTTTCTCTACCTCAACTTTACCTTTATGCAACAACTCTCTTCCTCACTTTTCCTCTTTTGTTGTGCTGTTTCTCTTACCCTATTTCTGCTTTAGATTTTCCCTATTCCTTCTCTT